ACTATCAAGATGGACACTGTTCTTATATAATCACAGCAATGTAATCATATACATTCCTTGGCCTTTGTTGCATTTCATTGCATAGAAGCAAGTCACAGGCTGCCCACACTCAAGGGTGGGGGTTTGCACCAAGGTATGGATATTAGGAGGCAGGAATCGTGCACTCATCTTAAAGTCTGTCCATCACAAATATTTTTGAGCAATTTACCCTGCCACAGGGACACGACATACAAAATATATACATGTTAAGTGGTTGTGATGAAGGCATAAATTTAAGAAAGAGAAACACCACATGCAAGTTCTATAAACACTGTTAAACAGTATTTGGGTCAGAGGACAATTATTGGAGAATTGAAAAGAACAGGTAAACATGGGCTGGAGTAGTTGGGAAAGGCTTCAAGGAAGTGGAATTTGATTTCTTTGACTTACTGGTAGAATTGTAAAAATGTAAAAAAAAAAGGAGAGGGTATTACAGAAAGAAAGAGATGAGCAAATTTATCTTACTCTTTTCTTTGGTAACTTCTTTTATGCTAGAGATTATAATTATCTCCCTCTATGAGTACCATGGAAAGCCTGCCAGGATTATTCCTCCCTCTGTCTACCCTCTACCCTCCTTTTTTTCTTATATGGGAAGGAGAGTGTATAACAAGATGGTAACTCCCTTTAAAAAAAAAAAAAAAGTGATTGAATTCTGGATCTTAAATCTATGCCCTCTATTCCAGTTTTCAGGTTTCCTTTGCATAATTAAAAATGTAAATGTTAAAGTATTTTTACTCCATAAAGAATCAGTCACATCACAAACTCCTCTCTCTCAGCACATGCTGGTCTGAAAAGATAGGCCTGAACTCAAGCCTGCAGGGCAGTCAGTACACTCAGGGCTTGACAGATCAGAGGAGCAGACACTTTAGAAGAGGCAAGACTATAAGCACAATGTCCAGTTGTTGTTTCTAACATTTGTTTCTTGGGACTGTGACCAGGGGACCACTGGCCTTGTCTTGATGCAGTGAAAGTAAGTAAGAAAAGCAAAATGTAAAGTAAGCAGCAGCTGCAGAGTATATAAAGTAGAGCATGCAAGTTAGCATATAGCAGACTTTTTTTTTTCTCATCTAGTATTAAAAAAGTAAAATTAGCCAGTATTTAAAATTTTGGAGAAAAACTGTAGTTCTGATTTCTTTAAAAAAATTAGAAGCCATCACCAGAGCTGTATCCCTTCAGGACAGCAATCTACCAGAACCAAGTAAGAGTCTCCTCTCTAGACCAAGCATATTACTCCCATTTGTCACAGAATGTACATTATTGCTTCCAGTGCAGTGGGGTCTCCTCCACTCTTTAGTTAATGACTCTGCAGGCATTGGAATTTGTACCAACTATGAATCCTGTGGGCATTGTTTTCAAAGTATTCACCATATAGCACCTGCAGTGCTTTTGAATATATGCAGATTCTTGGGCCCTGCACTGGATTTACTGAATTAGAAAATTTCCAGGGCACACTCAGCATTTTTTAACAAGCACTCTAGATGACTCTCAGATACAATGTGCATACAGGAAGACTACTGTCGTAAAGTTTTTCCCTCTCACTCTACCTTAGAAGATGGTTGGATTGTCACCTGTGGAGTGCAGGTGCAGGATGGACTCCAGTGCTCACCTGCCAGTCGCACCGCGGCTGGAGTTAGCAGGAATTGGTGCGTTCAGCTCCGTTTGTGAAACACATTGCAGTAGTCCAATCTGAAGGTCCTAAAGCCTAATATTCTGTGTGACCTGCCCCTGACCAGAGAAGATACATCCCGTGGTAATTATGGAAGGGAAATATTTAGAGTTCCATATAATTCTGGGTGGTGATGTGCATGCTAGGTTAGGAGTCTCCATAGTGTGTGATCCAATGTATTCTTCCTTAACCCAGACTGCTACTGAACCAAAACTAACCCTCTTCATTTAGCTAATATATAGGTTGTACCCCCAAAATGTATGCACACACTTTGAATAATTATAAAGGCAGTGTTTCTTAAAATACATTCATTTTCAAAATTGAGCTATCAGCTGTTAAAGTGTATATACATTTGGGGGGGATATCCTACACACACACACACACACACACACACACTGGTGTGTGTGTATAAAATTAAGTTGGACTGCAATTACCAATTATAAGGGGAGGCTAAGTGTTAGTGTTGGACTTAACTATCTTATGTCTACCTGTGTGGATTTTTTACACAAAAATCATCTATATAATTTCCCTTCTCACCCTTCCTTTCTTTTAACTATTGTTAAATTATGATTTACTGGCTCCTCATTGAATTTTAGTGTCTCACTCACCCATCCAATAGGCTCAGGTGATATATTTATTCTGTTCCTCTTAAAAATATAACGAGCAACTTTAAGTTGTCAATGAACATAAATATCAGTTGATTGGGGTGTGTAGCCATCAATGCTAATGAATATTTAAAATTTCCTTTGGCTTTCTTGGCAGAATAGCTAACCAAGAACATTAGAAGTCTAGGTATGAATTATTGGATCATTATAGACTGGCCTGAGCAGCAAAACTAAGCTGCAGTGGTTTCATCTCTTGAAGCCAGGATTTTACTTTCAGACTCCAACTGTTGTTCCCCAAGGATGTTGGATGGCCTTCCAGTCTTTGGAAGTTATCATCAATCATGAAAACCATTACAGCCTGCTTTCCAATTTCAACCCTTAGAGTGGCTTTCCTAGTCTTAGGCAAGTTGGTTGGCATTCTCTAGAGCGTAGGCGGAAAGGAGAGGAATGTGCAACAATGGTCTCACCAGCTGCTCAGATTTGGAAATAAGGGCGGAAGTGACTTCCAGAACCCATCTTGTACTATGAAAAACATTGAAGTGGCCAGAATTTAGAATGAAGAACACCGGGTCAACTTGTCTTGTTGGGAGACACACTTCCAATTAATCATAAATAATAGGAAGTCAGTTTTCTTCAATGGTTTGTACTTCATGAACCTAATAATTACGGGATTAAAGCTGTCTGTGCTACATCAAAATAATAGAGAAATATTTCTAGTTAGATTTGTAAAATACTTTGTCAGTCAAGCCTCCTACAGTTCTCCTATAAAAGCTATGAAATATGCCTGGAACAAAAAAAGGTACAGCTGGAAAGATGACAATGAGATTAATGAATGTTCACTTTTCTGTCTCTTTGTCTGTGAGTGTAATGATCCTCATGCCTACATCATCACAGTTTCACACAGAGAGTGAGGAGTTCTACAGACTGGGCATCACATCGGGAAGCCAGCACTGAAAATTTATCTGTTCGAACAAATGTTTTAAAAGCCAGTAGGAAGAGTAACCTGCCTGGCTCGAGTGTGTAGAGGGCAAGTTTTGAACCTGTCCCCCAATATGGGCTGAAGCCTCATGTTGTCAAGTAGCACATTTTACAGGCTAATCAGTTCAAAAGATTCGTCAGACAAAGAGCAAAGGGAAGACAAGCTTTTATTGACTGGGAAAATAATCAAATTGAATATAGTAACAAACAAGATATTTCAGAAGCTCTAATGAAATTGATAGAAACGTAAAGGTGACAGAGACCTACCCAGCAGATTAAATGGTGAAAGACTATCCCATATTCGTGGATGATGTTAATACTTTGGTCCTATACATGAACGTTTTCAATTTCAGATTTTTAAGCCTTTGCAATTCTTCAAAATATGTGGAATTACAAAAAGACATATGTTAGTTTGGGAATTGTGTATACTCTCCCATGACAGACTTTATTTTTCCAAGCTACCTCATAAATTTCATCACCCAGGAACGTGTGCAGCCAAAGCAACTCAGGTACACACTGAGTAGCCAGGGCAACATGTTTTCAATGAAGAGATCTCATCTTCCTAATAGCTTACAGCTCCCCATTCTGCTAGCAGCTTGAAGGGTATATGTGATAAATATAAGACTCGGTCCTTGTCTTCAGTAGTATATACCTAATATGCTTGATTAGCTTTTCTGATAGGATGCCACTTAGTGCTCAGTGGATAGAAGAGACCAAAAGTGGTATGAGATTTAAGATTGATTTAATTTTGGTCATCTCTATTACTCTTTGAAAATGCCACTTTAAAAATTCTTATGATTTAATAAAGGAGGGGCTTTGGAGTATAATATGTGTTTTATACTAAGTAGCACAACATGGTATAGCGGAATGGGAGCTGGAATAGAACACAGAAAAATCTCGATTCTTGTCTTACTTTCCCCACTGGGCAGCTAGAAGTCTTCTAAAAAGTCACTTATCTTCTTTGGATGACAGTTTCTACATTGGCATATATGTGGGGAGTGAGGAGGGATACTGCCTTCTGAACCTATTTTATAAGCATTTGTGAGGATAAAGTCAAATTCAATGCTATAAAAAAAGAAGGCAACATAATTATGAACTAACTGATTACATCAAATTAGCCCTTGAAGTTGTTTTAAAAATGCTTTTCATTCATGCTCTAAGAGTTGCATTTTGTGCATAGACCTCTGATAACTCATAAATAGGAACTTCATATAATGGCATTATGAAAATAATACTGTATGGTATTATCTCACTTGATTGTTACCAGCATGATATTTAGAGCAAAAATGATTATTATGGCCACTTCATATATTTAAAGAGACTGCAACTCAGAGGCATTACATGCCTTAGTCTAAGAAGGTGGAAGGGCTAGGACTGGCCCCTGATGTTACTGACTTTTAAAGTAATGTTTTTCCCAAAAAAGTGTTGCTGCCAACACCTTGCCAGATTACAGAAAGGAAGTGAAGCTTCTACAGAAATGAGTTAAAAGGAATGTCTAAAAATACAGTTCTCCCTCTTGAATATCTGTCTGAAATAACTTCAATAAGTCTTAATCAAAATGAAAACATATTTCAAATGCCCAGATATTGTTTTAAAAATTCACTTCCTCTTAAATAGCGTCGTTTGCCTGCAAGATGCCATTTTTTTCCTACTAACTGCAAGGCACAGATTATTTGTGAAGGGTGTTCATTGTTGCCCATTCTCTCTTTTAGCAACAGATCAACTCCTAGCAACCATGATCGGATACAGCGTCTGCGGCAGGAGTTCCAGCAAGCAAAGCAGGATGAAGATGTAGAAGATCGGCGACGGACCTACAGCTTTGAACAACCCTGGGTGAGTATTTGGTTCTTTGGCACAACAGATAGTCCTGCTACTTTCTGCAGTAAAAGCCGCTAAGCTATGACCTCAGTCCTTTATGAAGCAAGACAAGATGAAGCAAGACAAGGTGGAGCCAAATTCCTTTGACCTTTAACATAGTGACCTTTCTCTGATTTCCATGTGGGTTTCTTCATTGCTAATTTCATTTACATCTCATTGCACCATCTGTCCATTGCACAATAGGTTTCATTTGCCTTATGACAAGGCATAGCACACTATTATTGCTCTCAATTATGTATTTTTTAAGTTCAGCAAATATTTTTCTATATATATTTTCTCAGAACCAGAGCCAGAGTAAATTAGCTCAGCACATGCCTGTTGCATATCTACTATATGAAAGTACAGTATTTAGTCCTTCTTATTTCTTTATTCTTCCACAGCCCCTTTGTGTATTTGCTGAATCCCTCTCGTTTATCTGCTTCTATCCCTATTCTAGTTCATCCTCCACACAACCGCCAGAGTGATCTTTCTAAAGCAAAACTTTGCATGGCCTCTCAGTACCCACAGGATACAGTCCAACTGCACAGTGTAGCATACCAAATCCTCCTCAGTCTTGCCCTAGACTTGTGCTTCAATCTTGTGTTTTTCCTTAGAGATGATGGCCCTTCTGGGAATGGGAGGTGTTGGAGCAGACTTGGGGGTTCAAAATGATGGGAATTTTGAAGAATCTCTTTGGAAACTTGAGAGAGAGTCAATTTGGGATGAATAAATAGGCTGCTTGAGGCACAAAAATCTAGTCAAGGGTATTAGTAAGGTCCCATCAACATGGTCATGTGGCCATTACCAACAATGCTGAGAGGACTGGGAATAGAAAAAATAAATTTTTAGATTAATTCTGTGGAGGGGATTAGCAAGATAGACATGGAAGAAAGTCAAGGAAGGCACTGTAGAACCCTGGTCAGAATGCTAGTGAAGCTTTACCCAGTCTGGGTAAGGTGGTAACAGCTCAAGGAAGGATTACTCTGATTGTCTACGAGGATGTAAGAATGGTCAGCAGTCTAGGAGTCATAAAACCTAGGAGGCTTTTGTCAAGACAATATGTTCTTGGGAGTCCAGGATCTTGGAGGTGGCCCAGTTCTGGATGATGTTGAAGTCCAAGGTGTGCCATCCATGCATGTGAGTTCCTGAATTAGAATAGAGAGTAGGGTCAGAAAAGTTAAGGAGTTCAGTTCAAAGTGTTAGGAATATAATTACAGTAGATATGGAGGAAAGTAGGGACAGAAAAAAGGATGGTGGTAGGAAAGACTTGAAGTAAAAAAAAGATTCTATTTTCTTCGGGGAAAGGTAAATGACCCAGCTAACACAGCACTGAGAGGTTGGTGATGTTGCAGAGAAGAGAGAAAGGCAGAAATAGAGTGGGAGCCTTAGTGTGAGATTGAAGGTTTGAAGAAGGATGGAATCAGGACAGAGCACTGTCCCACTATCAGGTAACCTGGCTCTCCAGGCCTCAGTTTTCTTATTTGTAGACCCAGAGGGTTAGAGTACATAACTGTGTGTCTGTTATTAAATCCTTCGTTTGAATGAAAACTTAAGAGGAAGCTGAGCTTCTCCAAGTGTGGTCCACAGACCAGCACCTTCCCCAATGCTAGGAGCTTATTAGAAATGCACCTTCTTGTCCTGCCTCAGACTAACTAGATCTGAACCTCTATGGGTGGGGCCCAGGAATCTATATTTTAACAAGCCCTCCATGACCTTCTGAAACATGTTTAACTTTAAGAAGCACTGCTGTAGAGTTTATATCATCTCTGAGATTCTCTTTTGTCCTAAAATTCAACACCCTCACTATACTCTACACAAGGTCAGAAAGCTATAAAGGTTTTTGATCATGGGATTTAGTGATCGATTGGAGTTGGTGGAAGAGGAATTTTGTGAATGCAAGGAGAAGGCCAAACAATGGGAAGACCATTACAAAATCTGAAGGACTTTGGTGAAGTTCATGTGAAGAAGCTGGGGCCTTAGAACAGGCAATTGACAATATGAGGCCAGCATATACTAGTAAAAACTCCTTCTGAAATCAGTCCTAACCTGACTTTGGGATGTTACGAAAAAGTCCAGCGGATTTAATATCTAAGAAAATCTCTAATTGTCCTCTGCAACAAGATTATTATTAATGGTATTTTCAGTAAAGTATGTAGTTTATTTTTCTAGCTGATCAAGTAAATTGAGTTATTTCTATGTAACAACATAGCAGATTTTTAAAAATCTACTTATGGTATTTGGCATAATTGACTCAATCTATTTCTACTAGGTTTCTTAAAGCACACTTCTTTTGTGATATGTGGAAAGCACCCTTACCTGTGTATATTTGCTCAAAAACATCCTTAACTGTGCATATTTGAAAAGAGTAATGAGTACAGGGCAACTTGAAGGAGAAAACAGCAACTGCATATGGAAATGGTTCTCACACACACTGTTCCTACTTGCAGAATCCCTCATGGGTTTCTCATGACCACCCCATGCCACAAGGAGCAGTGACACCATTTTGCTTTGCCTGGGAATGCTGATTTCAAACCAGCATATTCACACCATTTATTCTTTAATTATGTAATTTATCAAGTTTCTTGAGTGCTTCCTGTGTTCTAGTCATTGGGTTTGGTGCTGGAACAGAAAGATGAAGGAAAAAAATGCTCTTCGAACTCTTCGTTCAGTTTGTGATAAGGGTATGCACAGACTATTAAGCACAGAGCAACCAGGCCAAATCAGCTGTGAGGGGTCAGGGAGGCTTGAAAGAAGACCTTTTTTGAAATTGGAATATATTTTAAATGTGTAACTTTGAGAAACAGAGAAACTTATCTTTGGGAACCAAGATTAATTGACTTTATTGCTGGTTGGTGATATTGTATCCACATGCTTCACCTCCAAGTTTGTTTGAGCATTTCCTACTTCTTAGCTCTAGATGTTTTTCATTGGGAGATGTGGAAATGATTTGGTATACACTTTGGTTTCTTTATTTGAATGGGGGGCCGTAAATATGTTTCTATATTACCTACTTAATATGAACAATCATGTTAAGAAAAATGTGTAACAGAATCTTGTGGATTTAGAAATGCCACTACTGAAGGTCATGAGCCAAATTACTGAATAGCAAAATGCCATAGCAACTTTAGACAGACAATGTGGCTTGTATTCTCACTTCCTGTAATGAGTGAGCAGGGAATTATTTGGATGACAGGCTGATTACTTTAGGAATGGAATAGTTTCCTAAATTGTGGGGTCAGAAGTTGGCTTTTAGTATTTATTTATTTAATTTATTTATTTTCAAACAATTGGGATTTTGCTGTATCCTCTCCATTTTACTTGTCATGTAAATGAACTTTAAGTGACTATAATTCTGAGTGTATTAATTTTCATACCAATTCTCATTGTTACTCTAATAAGAGCTGCTTGCTTATTCAAAATGTAGCTCGATATATGGTTTTTATTATGTGTTTTACAAACTGAGTTTTGAGTATCTTGGAATCTTTTTTCTTTTCCCTTATGTATTCTGCCCTTGAAAGGTCACTATGTTTAGAAAGGGTGAGACCATGATCTCACCCACTGGAATGGTTTTATAATCATTTTAGTTTTAAGGAACCACAAGCTCATCTCCAAGCTGTGTACAACTTAGACCATATTAGTTGAAATTGCCATGCTTGTTAGAAATGCCCACACACAAAGTGCAACCAGATGTATCCTATAGAAAATATCCAAGCCAATTACTTTACATACAGAGAGAGATACTGCAGAAAATTCATCTAAGGAGCCCTTTTCAGTTCATCCATTTTCAAAATGTTCTCTCTAAACTCTAGCATTATGGAGTGCACCTGTTTCTGGGCTTTTGTTCAAAATAATGTTTGGGCCTAAGGGAGCTGATTTGTGGCACAAAAGGTCTTTAGAGGAGCAGAGGCCTAGAAAATTTCCTTAGCTCCATAATGGAACTGAATTCTCTCCCAAGTTGAGTAAGAGAAGAATCAGAAAAAGCAACTTCTTCAAGTAGTGCCAGGTGCAACATAAATAAAGCAGCAAGTTGCTTTAAATCTTAAGATAATGGAACAATAGCCAAGGTTAGGGTTATTATCACAGAGCTCAGATATGGACAGGACTTAGTGTTGCTTTTAAAAGAATTGAATTGCAGGCTTCACTCATAAGTATAGTATGCTGTTAAAACTTTGCAGATACTTGAGTACTGCCTACAAGGAGACTTGCTGGCTGAGAGGACTGATAGATGGGATAATGGAGCCTTTAGTAGCTACATTGCTAAACCCTTCCCATCCCAGGTTGGTAGTGGCTGAGAGTAGTTTAGTCCTTCAGGTGGAGGATTTATCCTCTGCAATGTGAATATCCTCTTCTCCCCCAAGCTTTCTTCCTAGCTTCTGTCTTTAAACAAAATTTAAAAAATCTGTCTTGGACTTTTAATGGCTCCTCTTACCATTGTAGAGTTTTGCCTGCTTTAATCAGAGATTCAGTCTACAGCGTACAGCCACCAGCCACCCTGAACCTCTAGATTGGCTTCCCTATACCTGGGGGATTTGAGAAAATATGGTTTTATTGTTTTCATCTTTTTTAAGATTTCAAAGGTATGTGTTCTCATTTCCTCACAGTAGGTGTTTATACTTTGACTCAAAAAAATGCCTTCTTAGTTGACAGCCTTGCAGTAGAGTTGCTCCAGTTCCATTTGGGTGGAAGTCACCTCCCTTGAAAATTGACCTGGAGAAAGCCTTTCTTGCGGCAAAGGGGTACCCTTAACTCATGGCACAAACCTCTGTGCTGCTGCAAAGCAGGCCCTCTTCTTGTAGGCCTGGCCCCATACTGCTGGGCAAAGCCTCCATGACCCATGGGCCATGTCACTGGCAGAGGCCTCTGGTAGTAGAGATGCACAAGCTGCCTTGGGCTGCAGTGAGCCCACCACACCAGAGTGGGGTATGTGTGTGTTTGTAGAGCTACCCCTTTGTTTTCAATCTAGCTGCTGCTTAAGATGGGGGGAAATAGACCCAAACACTGGTTGGTAAAGATAAGATGAAGATAGTAATATATTAAAACCAAAACATGTATTTATAAAAACTTTATGAGGGAAATTGGCATGCTCTGCAGATTTCTCAACCATTACTCACATCATTAGTAGCAATTAAGCTTTTCAACATTCAGAACCCACAGGAGTTCAATCAATAGTTGTCTAAGTATAGTGGGTGATGGGTAGAGGTGGGCTGGGAAGGCAAGATCAATAGACAAAAGGTAACTTTGGACTAACGTTATAAATAATCCTACTGTAGAAAATAATAACCGATATTAGCAATGGCCACTTTTAAACAGAATAAACTGTTTACACTCTTTATATGATTCAGTGGCATAAAAATTATTTTTACCCTCTACCAAATCTTTAAATTACCATTATTATATCAGAATATTAGGATTATGGCACATTCGAATTACTAAAATAAGGATTATAAATCTCAAGGGGATATCATTATTCTTTCTGTTACTGTCAGTCTCATCATTCTCATCACCACCTTCATCATAGGTTTTCATGCAAAGCATACACACTTTGTATTCTATTTTTGTTTTCTATACATGCCCTTGCACATGTGAAAATATGAAAAATTTTTTATTCATGATTTAAGAGTACATATGTGTATATGCGAATATATACAAGTGCACATACATGCTTACATGCTATTTTTCTTATCTATGTGAAGAAAAATTAGTATTGAATATTTAAAATTATTGAATATTTTATGTAAATGCTAATAAAACAGTAGTGAACTTTATTTCATAAGTGACACATACACTTTTATGTTAACCTCTAGAGAACTTATATTACCTAGTTCTCATTAGTACCAAAACTTTATACTGTATATATTTACTTTTGCTCTTTCTTTAGTTTATTAACTGTTAGTAGTTTTGATTTTGTATTTTAATTTTTGTATTGTCTATTTTTTTATTCTGGAAAAATGGGAATGATTTAATTTAATTTAATTGCTTTGTTAATTACTTAATTTAGTGAAACACTATATGGAAGGTATTTTTTATTTTGTTTTACATTAGTAAGTGATACCAAAATTGTGTAGCTCTCCCAAGCCTTACATAATTTTTATATAGTATAAATAGTATCTCTTTAATAATCATGATAAAGACCAGTAGTTTGGAGCTCACTTATAAAAGCAACGTGCATAGATTTCACTTGGGGCTTAAACTTCTGTAATGGAGAGGTTCGTGTTTCATGGTCCTCCAGCGCACTATGCAATAGATAATCATGGACTTTTTCATCCTACAACCTTTATCATATGGCCTTGGCAACCTTATCACCAATATTATCAACAAGAAGACCAGGGTTATTTGTAACTTGCACTCTTGAAATAGAGTTATTGCCTTGTTATCTGATGAGTCTTCAGAATTATCCCAGTTATGCTTTACCTGTGTGTTTCCCTGTGTAGATGTCACTTTGTTGTTGAAGCCATTCATGGCGTTTTCTTTGAACACACGCACTTCTCTCTGGGGTTGCAGATGATCTCTTTCTTCATTTTTGTTTATGCTCTTGTAATTTGGAGCTCTTGATCCATTATTCTGTTTCTGCCATACGGATGGAAAACCACAGTATTTAAAAGTCATTGTTGATTGTAGTTCTGTTTCCACAGTTTACATTTTTATGAAATCTTCATTGAAATCATGAATGAAGTTATTTTTTATTCAAGCCAAGTATACAACTTTCAAGATGGCCTTATTTAGTTGTTGCTTTAAGCTGGTCATATCTACAGTCTTCCTTGAAATCTGTGGCCCTATGAAATTTCATCTTAAAGATAAGGGTGATGCTTTTTAATAACCTACCCTTTTGTAGGCTCTGAAAAGAGAAATTAAGTAAAATATTAATGGTAAGCCTGAGATTCATATTTCATCATAGTGAGTATAATAGTATGAAATATGTCAGTATGCTGATACCAAACTCATTCACTCATTTTAAGTTTTTATATTCCACTTGATGGTAATTTCATTATTTGAGTTCATCAGGATCCAACTAGATGCTTGCTGCTTATAAGGTTTGAGGTGAACAGTGTCAGAAAACACACAGTTGAGGAAACAAAAGCCATTTAACTTTTTTTTCTTTTCTCTGCCAGAATCAAATTTTTAGGCTTCTAGGAGAAACAACTTAAAAATACACCTGAAATTTCTACTTTACAAGACCTTGCAATTTTTTTTCACATCTTCACAGCAGTGTGTCACAGAACAGCGTGAGCTTATGAAGCTGGTTACTAAATCTTGCTGCAGAATGCCAAATATTTCAAGGCTGCTTGACATGTGTATATAGCTTATTCTGAGTGAAAAGAAAAAGAAAATGTTGTTTTTGAGGGCATAAAGGAAACTGTATTATTTTCTTGCTTTGCTTTCCCTCTGTCCAGTGGCTTTTCTCAGAATTCCCATGGCTCTCCATGAACACTAGAACAGCTCGGTTTTCTGTTTGGCCAGCCTCATCAAATGTAATGGAAGAAAATATATGTCTTCTTTAATGTAGTTGATGAACACTTCGTTGATGCTTTGTTTGCATAAGCAGAACTCACTCAGTGAAGTGTTTTCCTTGCTAAAGGCACCATTGATGTGTTATTTGACCTGTGTTGTGGAGAGGGTCTCTGAACATACATTTGTTCCAATGAGTATGGCTGTAAACACCCACTAGTAGAAACTGGGGTATTGTAAAGCCTAATTTCTTCACACATTATTTTTGTATCAGGATATTTTTAATATGTTCACTGACGATGCCCATGTGCTTTGAAATTTTTGTCCTGTATATTGCCATATTATTGCTTACGGACAAATAAGATAATGCTGGCCAGGCAGAAAGAGAACAACAGATGATGCTTGCTTTCTGTTTACACAAAAGCCAACTACAGGAGCCATTCTTTAAGTAACAAACCCACATGTTTTCTTACAGCTCTCCAAACGAATGCTATGGCTCTATTATTTTAGAAAATTATTATCAAGTCAAAGTCTGCCATTGGCTTTCAACTCTAAAAGAAAATCAGTAACTTGTTTTTAACAGATATTCTTCACTCAGAATACGCTTGTTCCACAGCATTGCATAGCAGCAAGGGGAACAGAGGGTAGCAGCCACCAAAAGGATTATAGAGGCATCTTTGTCTATTTTGAGCAGAGCTACTTTCATTTCGAAAGGCCAGATCTAGAAGGTAAGCTCAGACCTGTCAGTGAGAAGCCAGAGCATCCACTGGGCTTGACCTACGCAGCACAGTGCACACATCCAATACCTGTGATTTGGGTGAGAGGCACAATCAGCAGGTGACCTGCTGACCAAAGTATTTAGCCAGCATGATTGAACATTTCTCTATAGAATATAATTAACCTAGGTGAAAATGCCATTTCCTAATCACTAAGGCAAAATGTCTTGTCTCATAACCAATTCAAGTAGCTATTAGCTTTCAGGATTAGTCTTTTGATAAGCATTTCTATTCCCCATTTGGCTACCATCCTTGGATAGAAGGACACCTGTGCATGGCTAACGGGCTAGTTTCAGTTAACCTCGGTTCAAAATTTAACTGTCATTCTTTAGGAAAAGGGGGATCAGCTTATATTGTGTCCTACTGTTAAACTAAAATATGTATGCATCAAAAACATCCACTGGCATGACTTTCAGGTGTGTACCCATCAACTTTACTGCTTTTGTGAATTACTGTAGCAAATTTTTACTTATTTACTTGGCATTAGATTCTAGTTTGCTGTGTATACAAGGATGTAAACTGCTATCTAATGTTTGGATTTGCCCAACCTCATTAGGAAAACTTAGAAAGGTTGACCTCTCAATTTCCAACCATTCTAAAGCCATAATTAAAATTTAAGATGATTCAGTATTTGGTGCTCATAAAAGCAATTTTTAATTCCACAGAATTTGCCAAATGTTTGTAAGTCAGTCTATAAGAAATGATGTGATCCCCTTCTCATGAACTGTTTTGCCTTTTGCTCCTGCAGCCCAGCTCCCGGCCTCCGGCGCAGAGCGGCAGGCACTCGGTGTCCGTGGAGGTGCAGATGCAGCGCCAGCGGCAGGAGGAACGCGAGAGCTTCCAGCAGGCCCAGCGCCAGTACAGCTCCCTGCCTCGGTACAGTGCCCACATGTGCTCGGTCCCTCCGAAACTGCCCTGCTTCTCCGCCTTACGCACAGTGGTTAGAGAGGAACCGCAGGTGGATGGTGGGGTTGTTGCCCGGCTTACAGGCCATCCTACTATGTGGCAAGGAGTAGAAAGAAAGGTGTTTTAGGAGATGCCAACATTATCACCCAAAAACTCCATAATGGAAAGGCAGTGACATGACAGATGAGTACTTAAGGACTGGACCTGGATTATAGCATTGGTTCTGCTGCCTCCGATGTGGCCACAGACAAGACAGTTTCCTCATCTGAAAAAATGGGAAGATAGCTCTTGTTTTGCCTAGTTCCTAGGGTAACTAGAATAATTGATACTTCGTATATCTAGAGCTCTGTAGAGGGTACGGTGAATGCTCCATGCTCCATACTTAGGTGGTCTCCATGACCCCTAACCTCCCCCTCTTGCTGTCCTGCCAGCTCTGCATTCACTTGTGTTGATCCTCAGAGGGTCCCAATGTACCCACCGCATTTGCTGACAGCCACTTGGAAGTAACTCTACAATGAGGCTCTGTCATGCCTCGAAAGCGCTCAAGTGACTGAGCTCTCACACATGGAATAACAACCATTTTTCCATCTGAATATTTCCTACACACATAGTAAAGAATAAACATATTTTAAAATGTTCAGCTTTCTAAACGTCCCCAAATAAGTCACTCCAGTAACTACAACCTTACAGGCATTTATTTTTCTACTTCAAACCAGGTGGCAAAAACATTTGGGGTACAAGAAAATTCACTTATCTTGGTTTTATCAACTGTTTCGAAATTGAGAACAACTTTTATTTGGGGGCAGGGCAAATGCTTATCTGTGTAAACAACTGACCAATATAAAAGTGATCTTGATTCGATTTCTAATAAAGATGAACCGCTTTAACTGTTACATAGTCACTATATTAACTGTGAGGGATTTGATCACATTGACCTGGGTCATCAAGGGAATGTGGGTGTGAATGGAAATCTATACTAGGATGAGTACCATTACCATAGTAACTCGTTCATTCAGTTCTTTTTTCAGTTCATAATGTTATATTTCTTTTGAGGAATAAATTATTTTTTTCTTTTATACAGAATTATATTTTCTTTTAACTAGGAGGATAACTAACAGTTATTTAGCCAATCCTAAGTAAGTGTCATTGAAGTTTAGGTCTGGACAGGGCCTGGAGATCATCTTGTCTTACAAGAAAAAGCTCTGGAAGATTGGGCAACTTTCCCTAAAGTCACACAGCTAGTATAGAATTCTGCCAGAATTCAAACCCAAACCTGCCCGTGTCCTTTGTAACCATTCATTGCTATCACTCATTGCTACCAAAGGCTTTCCCCCCCAAGTTTGGAATATTGACAGATGTAGGTGTAAAGTCCCTCTGTGCTCTAGCGCCCTTAGCATTTGGAAGGAGGCCACTGTGTGAATCAGCCAGTGCATCAGCTGCTGGACACCTCAGGATTATACATAAAGGTTCTTCCATGTGAGTGCCTTTCTACCAGCCCGTTGGCTTGCAGTTGTCAGAAAGATGAGCATGATAAAGGGGATGAATTGACACACTGGGTATGGCCCTTTTGCCACAGCCACATAGGTGACAATAACACATTAAGGCCTGTGTGAATGACTACGATGTGCTACAGGAATATATGGTTTGTGGAGGGACTGGGATCTTAATCTATTGGCATATTGTTTGGCTTGCTGTATTTTAGTTGTGTTTGAGAGTATTTATAAGAAGTGGAGGAGAACTGTCATAAGGTGTATACAAGAAGAGGAGTGAGTTGACATGCACAGAACTAAGGAAGGGGAAGGGGAGAGATGGTGGTGGGAGGGCCTGGAAGGGTAGATGGCCTGGTGGGAGAGAGACTAGGGTCTTGATCCCCAGGAAGAGGGCACAGATCGATGCTTCCACAGAATTTCTCCAGGTCACAGTCCATAGGATCTCAGCATTCCAAACATGTCCTTTTGTTCTGGCATGTCTCTCCCCTTCTTCACTTGCCACCTGTCCTTTCCACCACCTCTCTCTGCCTCCCTTCCTCTCTCTCCTCCTCCTCCTGAAGCACCAGCTAGAAGTATCTGCATTTTCATGTAGAAGAGGGTTGCTGCTATTGGTGCTACTCATGTCATTTAGTGTTTCCCTAAATAACTAAAACTTTCCCTCTGGGTAATTGTCACTCCCTTATTATTAGCCATTTTATTCTGGGCAGATATGAGAAAAGTAGAAAACCTAAAATGAAAGATTTTTGTACATTTAGGCAACTGGGACTGGTCATGTTCCCTTCTTTTAGAGAATAAGTTCTCAGTATGAATCTTCACATGTGAGGAAGATTAGGAGTGTGGAGCCTTGTACCCAGCTTGATTGCTGGCAGAGTGGCTGTACACCACAGCAGGCTGTGTGCAGAGACCTGAAGGAAGGTAAAGAAACCAAACAGGAGGTCAGAGGAGGACTGCAGCAGCCTGCATGAGCTTGAGTCCAACCCACGTCTGTGACATGTGGTATTCTTCAGAGACACTGACCTCTGCTTTTCGGATGTTGACAATTAGCAGTGTTTTATCTAAACAAGTTGGTATGGCATTTGATGCCAAAATGATTTCGCACACAAAAAATAGTTTAGTTGCCAAGTGGAGCATAAAATAAAACAAATGGTCAAGATTTTGTCTCAGCCACAGTAGATAAGGTGGTTTGAATTAAAGGGATGTATGTGAGCCAGAGTGGTTTGAAATTCTAACTGTAATTAAGGAAGCCTATAGGCAGAATTCAAGTTTCATTTTGAAATGTCAGTAGAAAACATTAGCCAGGTGTTAACACTGGTTCTGAAGGAAAGGGGACCTGAGTGGCCCCACACTCAGTTCTCAATCAGACTAAGATTTCTTTTTTATTTTTTAAATTCCTAAATTAGGTTTATTTTCTTTCTTTTTAAAAAATCTATTTTTTAGTCCTAAATTAGTTTCTTTATTTAGTTTCCAAAAGGCAACTCTCAAACTGAGGAGTATGTTCACTCATAGTCACTGATAGAAAGACTTAAGATCCTTTTCTTTTAAATTTTCCTGCTGTCTCCCCATTTCTTCTTCATCTTTCCCTTGGTTTCACATCTGTTGGTGTCTCGCTTCTCTGCTTTGTATGTCTCACTGCTCCGCTATCTTCACACCCTGACGTGGTGTCCCCACCAGGCCCATTTATTATGTCTCTGAGCTGCTTGTGAACTTGTTAGCCTCGGTCTTTATATCTTTCTTTATCCTTCTGCGCTCTCCTCACCTTGGTGGCTAACTGGCTTTCCTCAAGCATTGAGTCTTTGCTGTGAGTCCTCTGCACGTTGATGGCCTTCAGACCACACTGGAGATCATTGTAATCATTGAGAGATAGTTATTGACAAACCAGGGTATGTGCTGTCAGTGGATTCAGAAATCTCTAGTGGGTTAATTCCAGGACCAAACAAGCCTGAATGCTGGCTATAAAGAAATTCAGTGGAAGGAGATTGATGTTTTCTTTCTGCTGTTTTTACTATGGCTTTGGGGCAATCATGGGACAGTGGAAAGCTTCCTTCCTATCTCTGTGGGACTTTGTGGACTTGCCCTCGCTCAGTGAGGGTTCTTCAGTTATTCTCTAGTTCCTTTCTCTCCTCCTTATCTCTACCCAATTTCTCTGACAAAGAAAGAGAAAACTAATATTTTTCTTTATTTTTCTTCTTTGGCCAGAAAGATGCCCCCCAAAACCCAGAGCCTACCCTGAAGGCAAAGTGACGTTGCCTTCAAACTACTCCTCCAGCACCCATTAATCAGCCATTGACTCTGTGCTATACTTTTCTAAGCATTTTGCATGTGTTATTTCTGCCCCATATCTTCTGAGGTTAGATATTAGACATGTTTCACAGATGAGGACAGTTGAGCACAGAGAGCATAACCGTCCCAGTGTCCCCCAACTGAAAAGCGGCAGATTCTAGATTTGAATCTATGTCTCTCTGATCCTAAGTCACTCTCCTTGACCCTAAGCCACTCTCCCACTGTGCCTAGTACCTGGGTGACTAGTTTCTTAGTGTAGGAAACTCTTACTTTCTGCTGCACTCTTATGTTTCTCTGTGATCTGCTCATTTCCTGTGTCTTAATCAAGAGCTGTAGATACCATTAGCTTCTGCACCAAGGAAGTGTGTGTGTGTGTGTGTGTGTGTGTGTGTGTGTGTACCCGTGTATGTATCTATGTATATGTACTTTCCCCACATACCTTACTTAAACCTCAGGGAGGCCTGCTTCCTTCTGTCTATATGATTAATTTGAAGAAAATTTTAACTAAAGTACATTTTCCCACATCATTAGAGTTTCCACTCCTAACACACCTTTAGGGAATTCTTAGTGAGTTCCTGGAATGATTCAAAATTCAGCTTATGGCTCTTGACCTCCACAGAGTGAATCCCTGGGCTTTCCAGAGTTGGGAGTGGGGGGTGAAGAGGGTTCGTGGGTCTCAGGAGGCCAAGGACGAGAAAGAGGTAAAATATCTGCAGCCTATCTCTGGTTATTTTTAGGTTGGTAACTAATGAAGGAGTTCCGCTTTTGCTCCTGTAACACCAGTAATAAGTTCATTGTTTTAATTAAAGTTTTATGATTAATGTCAAATCCCTGGTTTCATGCGGGCACTTTCCGTCATTCCTATCTCTGGGCAGATTAATGTATGACTTTGTAAGTGAAGATAATCGGTGCTTTAGGCAAATAAACTATTCCATCAAATGTAAGGATTCTTGCCTGGGCTGCTTATCCAGATGGCCTGATTCCCATTAAAAGAGAACCAAATAGCCCAGCGGGCCTGGCTCAGCGGTTGAGTGTCAACTTAGGATCCAGGCGATCGGGGTTCGATTCCCGGTCACACATGTGCCCGGGTTGCGGGCTCGATCCCCAGTTGGGGGCGTGTGGGAGGCAGCCGATCAGTATGTCTCTCATCATTGATGTTTCTCTCTCTCTCTCTCCCTCTCCTTTCCTCTCTCTGAAATCAATAAAGATATATTTTTTAAAAAAAAAAAAAGAGAGAGAACCAGATAGATATATTGTAAACTGCTCAACTAATCCAAGTCATATCCAGAGATGATGCTGATTATCAGTTCATTTCCTTATTGGAAATATCCCTGACTGCATTTTAGGCGATAAGGAAAATGGGCAGATTTCACCCCAAACCATATGGATGGCACTTTCAAATATTCAAAAATGCAAATTGTGTCATCCCTGTGGGAGACTCAGTGGCTGCATAGATCCTGTCTTTCCTCTGCAGAGGCCCTTTTGAACATACCATCATGTGTGTGTTGATGCAAAAGGCTGAGCCGTACATACTGTCACGAAATGGTTTTCTTATTGATAAATGGAGCAATACATTTTGTTTTATTACTCAATTCTCTCTCCCTCTCTTCCATTTCCAAGGCTAAAAATTAGGGCATGTCTTCCTTTCTAGTACAAAATTGTTTTACTTTATCATAGCCTGTCTTATTGTAAATTCATAAAAGCATCTAGAGACTTGATAGTAAATTAAAGACATTTCAAAACAATAATGTTTCTTGAAAATGATATGCAACTTTATTGCACAAATGATGAGAATTTGAAAGTTCTATGTGACTGATTTATTGCCCTATCCTGTGGTGACCCAACGTGAGTTTAGTAAGCAGTCCTGGCCTTCAGTGGAGATACCATGCACAGGAAAATAGTGCTTATTCTACAGACTTCCAGGTCTACAGTCTTGATGAGCATATGTTTTGAGGAGTGTCAGTTGCTGACATATACAGCTCAAAAGCCAGGATGGTAAGGGACTGCCTGTTGCATTTTTAATCATAAAGGAGTCTAAACTTAAATCTTTCATAACTGAACTCATCTTGTAATCCATTACATGTTCTTTCTATTAGCTAGCATCTCTGGCATCCTGGTGACAGCTGTGTAAAATATTTGTTTTGCTTGTTTAGAACTGAATTGTAATGTTCTGAAGCAAGCAATTATTGCTGGGGTAGATGTTGCCAAATCTCTAATCCTCCTCTACAGCCTCTTGCCAGTGTGTCTGAATTGCAGGAGATATATGTTATCCTAAGTAGAAGAGATAGTACCTCCCCAGACACAGAAGGAGGACCCTATTTCTGAATAGCTGAGTCGGTTAGTTCTCTCTCTTGTTTAGCCCTAGTTTGTTCACTTGTCTGAGACTTGAGTTTGCTGAGGACAGCCACGTTTTCTTCCTCCAGCCCCTATCATAGTGCCTGGCACATGAATGGAGCACAATACTATTTGTTGAAATACTGAAATGCACATTCCCTCCTTCCCCCTTCCCTCTTCTTTGTCCCTCTCCCATTCCAAGTTCACACTGACCTTTGGGCTTTGCTTTCTAGGCAAAGCAGGAAAAATGCCAGCTCTGTCTCCCAGGATTCCTGGGAGCAGAACTACTCGCCTGGGGAAGGCTTCCAGAGTGCCAAGGAGAACCCCAGGTACTCCAGCTACCAAGGCTCCAGAAATGGCTACCTGGGCGGGCATGGCTTCAACGCCAGGGTGATGCTGGAGACCCAGGAGCTCCTTCGCCAAGAACAGAGACGGAAAGAGCAGCAGATGAAGAAGCAGCCCCCCCCTGAGGGGCTCAACAACTATGACTCATATAAGAATGTCCAGGACCCCAGTTACACTCTACCTAAGGGACCGTTCCGGCAGGATGTGCCTCCCTCCCCGTCTCAGGTCGCTAGGCTAAACAGACTGCAGACTCCTGAGAAAGGGAGACCCTTCTATTCCTGAGCAGGAGAAGAGTGAATGCTTCATTCATGCAATAAAGGACACTTTCCTGGGAAGAGTTGTTGTATTTTGGGAGTTTTTTAAAAACCTCCATGGTACTATGAAATATTTCTGTTGTTGGTATTAGTGCCTTTAAGCAATATGGGCAGAGAAATGGAAGGCCTTAATGTCTTTGCCAGTATGTCTCAAGTGTATTTCATGGAAGGATTTCCCACCATCTGACAATCATCTGCTTGAAGCATTCATATGCTCTGCATCTCTCAGGAGGACCAGGAATTCTTGGCCGACTCAAGAGATGTTCATGGATTTGTGTCACAGCCCCATAAACTTGTGCTGACAAATTACCTTGAAGCTGAGGTTAATGTTGATTTCTTTTTACTCCCTTTAAGTTTTCTGAGATATAAGGTGCCTCTCAGTTTCTAGTGGATGAAAGTGGGTGACATACTGCAGAAACTGGGGCTTTATGGTACTTCACAGCACAGTCATTTATATTTGGTACAGTTTTCCCTTTTCATTCTCAGCTCCTCATAACAGGAAAGTTCCTTCATGTTATAAAGAAGCTAAGCCATATTCCAGCACTGTCTGGTTATCGTGGGGCTCCTTTTGTAACTGCCTTATAACTCAACATTACCAGTAAAGTGATCATTCTAGTCTGAGATTATAAATGCTCTTTTTCAGTCATGTTCCTAATACATGTGTTGAGTCACCACATGTCTGAGTAGGGAAGGTAGGAGATGGGAGGGACCCCTGGAAGGGAGGGACTGGGCCTGCCTGTCGTCCCTGTGTATATCATGATCTGGGAGGTGGTAGTGAAGGAAACAATTCTCCCAGGATGAGCTTCTGCCCAGTACATCCCAGTAATTATTTTCATTAGTTTTTGATTGACAGGTTGGCAGGAAGGGTATAGAGTGGGACAAAGATAGGTCAGTCATTTGGAGACTCTAAAAACTCATCTGCTTTCTACTGTTTCTCAAGTCGATAGGAATTGACGTGTGTCTAGTGCATCCACATGTTACATTTCTGCCTGGTGATGGCATCCGTGCTACTAAATAACTCTGCTATGAAACAGAAAAGACAAATAAGGGAAAACCCGTCACACTTCACAAAGAGAACATTCTGGTGTCCCCAAACTGGTCACAAAAGTGCTTCTCATGTCAATATTTTAATATACCTGTGGGTCATGAGGACCTCATCTGCTCTTGCGTTTTCATCTGTTGGTCCCAACATCATGTATTGTAAATCATGGCTGCGTTGCTAAAGTGCCTGCAAATTCCGATGTGAAAATGCTTGAAATAAAATCTCCACATACCATGTATTAACAAAAGAAGAAAAAAAGACATGTACTGATATGCCTATTTTTTTTTTACTGGCACATTGTATTTTGTGTCCACTTGTTTTTAGAAAATGTGTGAAGTGTGCATACATGTACCTATGTCTCTTTTGCATTTCTGTGTAATGGTTCTATTTGTTCATAATGTGCGGTGATGTTTCAATGGTATTACCAATGTAAACGTGGTGACTGAACTACAGGGCTCTTTCTCACAGCCTCCCTGAGCTGTGAGAAATAGCTTTCTCTGTACATGAGACTTAAAATAAAAGGCATATTTCTTCCTGTTGTTTGCAATGTCTGTAGTATTCTTGTGGAAACTCTCCTAGCTGGAGTTTGTTTTGTTTTTGTTGTTGTTAATATATAGGGTGTCCCAAAAAATGTATACACATACTTTGAATAATTATACAGGCAGTGTTTATTAAAATACATTTAATTTCCTAAATTGAGCTATCAGCTGTTAAAGTGTATATACATTTATTTGGGACACCCTGTATATTAGCAGATGTGGGGTGTTTTTTTACATATTTAGTGAAAGCTGAAAGTTTCTTCATATCTGCAAACACAGAAATGGGTGATCGCTTGCTTATTTGCACACCTGAGGGGAGAGGGGACAGGAAGGGGGACCTTCTTCTTTTTTAATTTTTTAAAATTTTCTATTTAGAGAGGAAGGGAGAGAGAGAAAGAGAGAGAGACATCAATTTGTTGTTTCACTTATTTATGCATTCCTTGGTTGGTTCTTGTATGTACCCTGACTGAGGATCGAGCCTGCAACCATGGCATATCTGGACAATGCTCTAACCAACTAAGCTACCTGGCTAGGCCACGGAGACCTTCTTAATAAGTCCCTTGGAAGGCCCAGGGTGCTGAAAGAAGCCTGGGGAATTCTGAATTGAAGGATCTGATACACTACTAGAACTAGATTTAAAAAATAAGACAGAAAACTATGCAAATACTTCTATTATTGCCTTTTGCTCCCTTTGCGTTGTTTCGGCAAACCAGATGTTTTGATTGAGTTCTAGCCTTGTGTACGGTGAGCCCAGAGAGCTGTCCAAATTTTAGTTCACTTCCAATGCTAACCTGGTTTATATTTCCCAAATTATGAAATAAGGCTTTGCTAAATCTTTCAGGTGGACACTCATTAATATTTGTACGGTGCTTCGATGGTATGAAGAGCAGTACATCCTACTTATGTCTTATATACAAATATAGATGTGGTTCCTACCCAAAGGGCAAGTTTTGCTAAGACCTGTCAAAAATGCCTGTCTTGTTGAATGCCTGGCATCAGTTGTCATAGCCCTCGTTGTGTCACTAGATCCAAATTCTGTCACCTCAGGATTCTCATAAGAGATGTATAGCAAGCCAAGTAAATAACATCTTTGGTTCTTATATGCATGCAAGGTGTGGAAAGTAGAAAAGCAAGATGGACAGATTTGTTAATTTTCTCACTGACCAGGAGGCAGTTAATTTTCTCACTGACCATTTGGCCATTGCAAATGCCAAAACTGGCAGGTTATTTATCTCAACTGGCAGTGAGAAGTAGAGCAGAAGAGGTAATATTGAATGTTGTGGGAACCCAAATCGCAAAGGAATTTGTAGATTAAAACTGACAATTCGAGCCATACTAAGAAGTAGGAATAGATATGGGTCAGCATAGAAGTGAGGATATGCTCCATGAAGCAATCTTGTCGAATGAACTGGCCTGTGGCTCCAGAACACTTCCCAAGGCCTTGAACCATCACTGGGAGGGTCCCCGGGAAGAGGCAGGCTGGGCATGGTCTGCACGCGCACTGTGCCCTGCCCTGTGCCCGTGCGGCGCCGCAAGTCACGAAATGGGGCAGACAGCACACCTGGATGGGGATGGGTGAGGCGTAAGCCAGATGTCCTTCAGAAAAGATGGTCCCACTATTACATTATTACCACTTTAGTCCATTAAGACTATGCAGTCTTATAAAGATTTATATATAAATATAAATTATGGAAATAATATTACGTAGCCTATCTATATTATATGTAATGTAAGCACCACCACCCGCCCCTGTACCTGTGGTTGGTTAGACGACAGACTGCTCAGAGGTGAAAGTGCCCACAAGTACCCAGGATGCCCCACGAACAGGACGGAGTGTGCGACCCGGACTGCTCAGGTTTTCTGCCAAGAAAGTAAAATATATCACATCAGAGACAGTAAACCAAATGACTCTCTGTTTCTCTGAGTGGGAGAAATTTGTTTCATTGGAAACCCTTTATGAAAAGGGCCAGAAAATAGGAAAACTGAGCTGACCACCCTGTCGGCAGTGTGCTTGGCCATTGATCACCACTGTAGGAAAGCAGGGGTCACTGAGGCTTCTCTGTTCATGTCATTGCTCGTGAATTACCCAGATATGCTGGTCATCTTGGGGACTGCTCCCCTCCCTTCATTAGTTTTTATTAGAGAGTACATTTTGTATATACATATAATAAGCATATGTAGCATATTTCTGTAATTATGTGTCCGTATTTGTCTGGTTTAATGTTCCTCATTTCATCCTCGAGTCCTTAAAACCTAGGCCTTGCCCCCGCCAGAACCAACCTAGATGAAGCAGGCAGCCCTTTGTTCCTGGCTCCTCAGTCACGGCGAGTACGCACTACATGCTCTAGGTACACCCCATCGCCGACGTCCTGCTGGGGATGGCAGAGTGCACCATCAATTTAAATGTCTACTTAACAGCCTTTTCCCCCCACAAAGATTACTCTGATGATGACATGTCAGGTAAGGAGATAATCTTTCTTTTTTACTTCAGAGACAGGATATCGTCTTAATACAGCAGCTAATAAGAGCATTCACAGGTCAGACAGTGAGAGTGACGGAGGTGCTTTAATGGAAACCACCTTCAGCTCTGAGTAATGATTAGATCACAAAGCCTGCTGAATTAAAATGACTTTTTTTTTTTTTGAATGTGTGGAGGATGAGGATTGCAATTCTGAGCATAAGCTTTTCTTTTTCTTTCTTTCTCACCTCCCTTCCTTCCTTCCTTCCTTCCTTCCTTCCTTCCTTCCTTCCTTCCTTCCTTCCTTCCTTCTTTCTTTCTTTCTTTCTTTCTTTCTTTCTTCTTTCTTTTTTTTCTTAATAAGAAACTGATTATCTTCATTTAGCTCTCATGCCAAAAGGGGAAGATTGTCATTGCGCTCCACATAGAAGGAACTTGTCTCCAAAACTCATCACCTCCCCAGCCCACATTCATCTCCCTCCTCTTCCTTTTTTTCAGCTTTCATATCCCGATCAGCAAAGTAAAAACCTGTGGGTGTGCTTCAGCCATAAATTAAGTTTCTTCAGGTTAAACCCTATAGTAGAAAATTTCATTTTTAAAGGATTCCATTTGGTCCTATTGATCAATCATCCTTTGCTAAGGAAGATAATTGCCTTTCCTCACAAGTTTTTAATTTCTAAATTTATATTTAAATGATCAGTTTTTTCTCGTTTTTAATTTTTTTAAGCAAATTAAATGTGCATTAGCCTACCTGTCCCAAGATGAGTCTCTTCCATACTGGACAGGGGAGAAAAGTGCAAAAAACAAAACAAAGTCCCTTTCCATGAGGTTGAACAATTACTCATCTTTCCTCACTTGTTTGCTCACATGATCAATTAAATGTGTGAAAAACATGCTTTTCTGAATCATTCAACTAACTGCTTAATCACCTCACACTTGTTGATTTATAAGAGCCATTTGGACTTTGTTCCTAGACACTGTCCCTGGGTGTCACTAGCTTGGGAGAATTGGCTGCTGTAAGGTGATGCCCATGGCAGGAGCCTCCATCTCGAAGTCAATTTTGCTGCTTGCCAGGAGGCTCCTCCTGAAACTGAGGTTTGGTTTCCATAAGGGGTTTTATGATGCAAAGATTTTAAGTACAACTTTGAAGATTTTGCCATTAAAAATAGTCTCACATGGCTCAGGGCCCTGTCGACTGCAAATTACAAGGGGCAAGAGTGGCACGTATTGCTGGCAAGTGCCAGGCAATGAAACAACACAAATTTCTAAACCAGTCATGCCCTTGGCTAATGATCCAGTTTCAGGGTTCAGTTCGTATCGGACTTGCTTTTACTCAGCTCTAGTTGTCAGTGGCAACGTACTTATCACAACTGTTTATGTTGGGATGAAATGGGTGAAAACGTCAGCCCAGCAACCCAGAGACGGGTCAGATTAGGACTTGCCAGTGAGTGTGGGTTATTTTGGAATACTGCAAACCTGAACTTGTCTTGTGAAACCTCAAAGGGAATTTGCCCTGCGCATGATTTGACCTGTAACTACATTTCCAAAGTTTTCTTAACTTTATCCGCTTGGCTTGCCTCCCATCTGAGTCCAGGGATTTCCCCTCTGGTCCAAGCACCGAAAGCATTTTCACAAAATCTGCAATCAAGAGTGCACAGCTGCCCCTGGCGGCTTTATTCATGGAGCACTTTACAACTTGTACAGCACCTGCTTCCTTTTAAACTCCTAAACTCTGTGAAGCAGGATAGAGAAATGATAGTCCAATTTTTTTAAATTTATTTTTATTGTTGACAGTATTACAGTGTCCCATATTTCCCTCCATTGCTCCCCTTCACCCAACCTGCACACCACCCAGACTTTCACCATATTATTGTCTGTGTCCATTGGCGATGCCTGTAAGTTCTTTGGGTGATCTCTCCCTGCCCACCCCTACCCCCTTCCCTCTAAGACCTGTCAGTCTGTTCCTTACATCCGTGCCTTTGGGTCTGTTTTGTTCTTCAGTTTATTTTGTGGACTAGATTCCACATATAAGTGAGATCATGTGAT